GTACTCCAGCTTGTTCCAGGGCCTCTCCCAAGGGTGCAGGGGTGTGGGAGGAGGGCAGCTGCTGCCCGTGTGTTCCCAGTCAGGCAGAGCTGAGCGGGACACCCAGAGGGTGCCAGGCTGTAGCTGGTACACCTGTGTGCCCATCCCAGGCCTCCTTGCCTCTACCTTCTCTCTACTACCAAGGCAGGGGTGAGGAGTGGCCTCTTTCTTGACCTTGATCAGGTCTTGACCAAGACCACAGAGGATGCTGTGGTCACAGCCAACATCAGGCCAGGGAGCAGTGGACAGCATCCAGCCTGTTTGTTTTATTGTGGCCCTGGCACTAGCTGGTTCTGGACATGCCCTTGAAGTTCAGGGGCAGAGAGAAAGGAGAAGGCACCGTGGCCTGCTTGGCTGCGCACACGAACGTACGTATCCTTTCCACCCGGAGCAAAGTCGTGAAGGTTCTGCTGAGATCTGGCCAGACCCACACAGCTGGTGTGCCCCACTGTGGACAGAGTGTGGGAGGGACAGCTGGCGCCCCAAATACCTGCGAAGCTGAAGCATGGGCTCCTCTCCCTCAGGTCTGAGGAAGGGTCTAGCACATATTCCAGGGAATGTTGTAGGTTTCTCTCCTCCTTTTTTCTTGCTTCCTGGGTTGTCTTCTGGCCTTGCTTGTTAGAGTTGGGCCCATCTCAGGACGGGAGGCCAGAGGACGAGTCCCCACAGTCGGGAGCACGGAGGGAAACCCAGAGGTGCTGGCTCAGCCCGGGTGCATGGGAAAGAAGGTCTAGGCTCAGGACCCTGCCACACTGTGGGAACCGGGCTGGCCCTGGGGCCGGTGGGGCTGCAGCCTGGGGTCTCCGGAGCCTAGGAGAAGGCAGCGGAAGCTCCATCCCCAGAGGCCAGGAGAGGGGCTTCTGCCACCGTCCTTTCCTTCCCTTTCTCTGCCTGCTCCCCAGCCTCCCAGCCCGGGGAGCGGCTGCCACAGGTCTCACTCCCTTGATTCCCCATTCATTTTTTAAAAAAGTTTATTTATTTTGAGAGAGAGAGAGAGAGAGAGAGAGAGAGAGAACAAGCACAAGCAGGGGAGGGGCAGAAAGAAGAAGAGACAGAACCCCAAGCAGGCTCCACGCTGTCAGTGCAGAGCCTGATGTGGGGCTGGAACTCATGAACCATGAGATCATGACCTGAGCCGAGACATGACCCAAGCTAAGATCAAGAGTCAGACGCTTAACCGACTGAGCCACCCAGGCTCCCTGATTCCTCGGGCTCCCCAATTCCATTTAAAACCAGTAAGCAAGGGCGCCTGGGTGGCTCAGTCAGTTAAGCGTCCAACTTCAGCTCAGGTCATGATCTCGTGGTTTGTGAGTTCAAGCCCTACGTCGGTCTCTCTGCTGACAGCCCAGAGCCTGGCTTCAGATTCTGTGTCTCCCTCTCTCTCTGACTCTTCCCTGCTCATACTGTGTGTGTGTGTGTCTCTCTCTCAAAAATAAATAGACACTAAAAAAAAATTTTTTTTAAATAAAAGCAGTAAGCACCTCTACTGGGAGGGGTGCTATGGAGGCCTTGGATAACTTTAAAACTAGATTTAAAAGAAAAAACTAGAAAGGACAGTTTTTTGTAGCTCACCTCTGGTGGTTTAAGCAGTGTGCTCTGAAAATCCTATGGCCTTTGATGTTTGCTTACTCTGGTTAGTTTAGCCCAAGCGACGGGGCCCCTGAGGCCACGCCAGCCCCTGGGAAGGTGGTTTTCTTGCCCTGCTTGGAGCTTCTCCTGCTGCCATGAGCAGCACGGGGCTGGCACTGGTCAGGTGCGCTTGGTCTCTGGGGGGCAGAGGAACCAGAATTCCCTGCCGCATCCCCCACGGCACGTCCTGAGTGCCCCCCCCCCCCCCGACCCATGGAATGTGGCTGAATGTCGCGGAGCACTTTACAGTTACACTCGTGAGCTGTGCAATTTGCTCGCCTCCCTGACTGGGGTTTCTCATCCATCCCCAGCCCCGTCATGGCATGAGGGCTACCTAAGTATCTCACATCTCTCTGGTATACACTCACGCACACATACACACACATGCACGGTGCCACAGGCAGTGCACAGGCACATATGCAGGCACGGTGCCACAGGCAGTATACATGCACTCATGCACAGTGCCACAGACAATGCATACACACGCATGCACACATGCACACACATGGTTCCACAGGCAGTGCACACACACAGTGCCACAGACAATGCACACACACGCATGCACACGTGCACACACACGGTTCCACAGGCAGTGCACACATGCACACACACACACACACGGTGCCACAAGCAGTGCACACACATGCCGCACACACACTCATGGTGCCACAGGCAGTGCATGCACACGCACACACACACACACATGGTGCTCCAGGCAGCACACACACAAGAGCACAAGAGTAAGCAGGATCCGAAGAGGTCCCTGAGGAACTGGGGACAGTCCATGGAGCCTGGGATTCTGTTACTGCTGCCCATTCCAAGGGCCTCCGGCAGGGCCCCCTGACCTGCAGGGACCCGGTGCAGCTTACCAGATGGGAGGCCTGATTTGCACAGAGGCCTTTTTTGGAGTCAGCATATTTGTGAGGTACCCAGAGACTGAGATGGTTTGGAGAGAAAGGTCAGAGCCGCTCACCGAAAAGGGAGGGAGAGGCTTTCCCCATCGGGCCACTGGGCCTCTCCTCTGCTGACCCTACCCTGGGCCTCCTGCCCCCCAGCTCTAACCATGAGGGACTCCCAACAGTAGGTGACCCAGTAGAGGGGCTAGGAGGTGGCCCGTGGGCTGGGGTAGGTCCAGGGGGACATGGTGGACCAGGACTGTGTCTGCGATGCCTTGAGAATAGACTGAAACACGCCCCGATGCACGTGGCCCTGACCTTGGCACCACCCCCTGCACCTCCGCTCACCCCAGGACCCCCTGTAGCATGCCTTCCAAGGCCATGGGCTCACTCCCTTGCCCTACCCTGGGTGGCACCCTGACCCCACATCGGTCTCCTGTTTCTTAGATGCCCCCAACTGTGCCCCAGCTGGCTGGCCTGTCCCTTCATCACCCAGAGGAGTAGGCACGCAAGGTTGGAAAGGTCTCATGACCCGGGGCCTCTGAGAAGGTCGGGCCTGAGCGCAGGTGGGTCCCTGCTCTGCCTGGGTTGTGGGGCCAGCAAGTCTGTGCCCCGGGATCAGTGCAGGACCAAGGGCTGGTGAGCACATGCTCTCCGGGTGCCCATGAGCGGACCTGCCCCAGGGCCCCCCCCCAGGCCGCCATCAGGTTGTCGGCTCCCAGGTCTGCTTATGAGCGGCTGGTCTTTATCAGCAGAGGGTTTTCCTTCTGGCCACAGAGATAGGCTTCCCTGAGGCAGGCTCCTTCCTTGCCTTGGCTTTGAGCAGTGAGTGTCAGGAAGGACGAGGCTGATGTATCCTTTGTTCCTGATACTGGAGGTGGTTTGGGGAGAGGACCCCAAAAGGAGCCTCGAGTCCTTACTTTGGCTTCTTAAAGTGTTATCAGGCTGGGAGTTCGCCACCTTGATCCTAACATCTCTCTGCCAGTGACCAGTGAGGTGACAGTGCCAGTGTCAGTGACAGATCACCTCCCTGGGTGGCAGGGTGTTTGGGGGATCCCAGGCTGGCGGCTGGCTCTTGCTCCGGAGGCTGCAGGAGGCCTTTTGCATAAGACTTGAGGCCTCGGTTTTCCCTTGGGATTAGCCACTTCCCACTCGTGACGTTGAAGGTATGCAGCGGCAGTATGTGTCCCCCAGAAAAGGTGAGAAAGATCCACAATAGTAATAACACCATGGCCTGCAACATGCCTGGCATCTTGCTGAGCACGTTTGTAGCTTGGGTCTATCTACGCTTGCATCTCTGCAAAAGTCCTCCCCTTTTGCAGGGTAAGCAAGTGGAGGCTTGGAGATGAAATGCAGTGTCTGGCTGCAGGGCCTGCTCTTGACCCTGAGCCTTGACAGTATCTCTCAGCTTTGTCTTTTTGGTCCTTAGAGCCAGAAGTGATCATAAGGCTGGGCCTGCAAGTTTGGTTCTCCAGTGGGTAACTCAGGCTCAGAGAGGGGAAATGGTGTGGTGGGGCCTGCGGCCCAGGACCAGGCCTGGCACCCTGGGCCCAGTTTCCCAGGGGTGCCCGCAAGCGCCTCCCCTGGGGATCGTCTGGCTCCAGAGCCAAGAATGCCCCCTTTGTGCCAGCACAATCCCTGGCGATAGGCGGGCCTCCCTGCTCTGAAAGCCCTGATTGTCGCTCTGAGCTTGGGGTTGGGCTGCCCCCACTCCCGCCCCCACCCCTGCTCGCTGTGGGGCCTTTTGTGCTCCCAGATTTCAGCACAACAGCCGGGCTGTTGATCCAGAAGGCCCAGCGTGACCGGGAGAGGGCGATGTGCCAGCACCCTCCTGGTCAGAGCTAGGAGGTGGGCCCTTTGTTCAGGCCGGAGCCCCACAGTGGTGAACCGATGGGGACTTGGGGAGAGCTGATTTCCAGTCCTGGCCGGGCCCCTAGCCTGCCCGCTCTGTGCCCTGGCTGAGTCAGGCCCCTCTTTGGGCCTCAGTTTTCTTATCCATAACACAAGAGCTTGGGTAGCAGAGAAGAGTGGGGGGGGGGCGGGGGGGAGGCCTGGAGGACAAAAGGAAGACTCAGCTCAGGTCTGTCTTTGGACAGTGGAAAGGGCCTCAGGCAGGGACCAGGGCCAGCCCAGTCCCAACCTGGCATGGCTGCTTCCCCGGGCAGGGCCCCTTCTCTCGGGCCCTGGCCTATCTGATCTGTATAGGAAGGCGTGTGAATCACTCCTGCTCAGACATGCAGAGGGACGAAGGCATCAGATGGGCATGGGAGGCATGGAGAGGGTGTGTGGGTAGGGCTATGGTGGGGCGTTCATGCAGGCGGGGTGCGAGTGACTTGGGCATGTGGGCACTCCGCTCCAGTCCCGAGTTCTGGGAGGCCTTGGGTGGGGCTCAGGGAGGGGAGGTCTGTTTCTTTCATAATGTCTCCATCTAAACAGACCATCGACTTTCTGAATGACAACATTCGAAGAGGAATCGAGAACTACTATGATGACCTGGACTTCAAAAACATCATGGACTTTGTTCAGAAGGAGGTGAGCCAGGCGCTGTGGGTCAGAGGCACACCTGCCATGCCCTTTGCCCCCCAGCTCAGGACCCTGCTCAAGAGGGGGAGTGGAAGCGGGGAGTGGCTTGTTCATTCCCAAAGCAGGTGCCTGGCCAACTTGGGAGGCAATGGCTGGCTATCAAGTGTGGGGCCTGACCTTCTCAACCAGTCCTCTGCCCACATGCCTGGCCTAGAGTGTCCTTACTCTTCCTGTCATTCCTTAGTTACATGGACCATGCTCCCCTCCCCAAAAAAGAATAAGGTCAGGTAAAACTACAAGCCATCTTGTAGGGTCCCAGCGTACTCTTCTCCAATGGGCAAAGATCATCCTTCCTTGAGGTGAGAGTGACCTCCAAGCCACCCAGTTCAGACTCCGTCCAGTGATGGGGGGCTCACTCCCTGTCAAGTCAGGGGCACCCCTGATGTGGAAAGAGCTTGATTCCACTACCCCTTGCGTTAGGGAACAGAACATGACTTCCCTTTTGCTTCCATTCACTTCTGTGAATGCGATGATTATCGTTTTGGGACACTGTCCCTCTTCCCACAACGTCTACGCAAGTCAGTCCGTGCAATGATAAGCCCTGGGCGGCTTCTACACCCCAGTCTCATTTAGTCCTGAGCCTCAGGCTCCTCATCTGCATGGTGGAGGGGAAGATAGACGGCCCCTTCCTCTTGAGGTCTTGATGTCGATGTGCGTTCATGTTGCGCTTTGGGACCTGGCCTTGGGACCTGGCTCCCGTGCTGGCTGTCAGCCAGAGCCAAATCTCACCGCACCCAGGGCCACCCGCAGTGGCCACTCCCTTGACTCAGACCTTCTCTGTGGTCACAACAGGTGCAGCCTCTGGGAGGCGCCTCTCTGCCTGGGGCGTGTGGGCCAGCTCTGGACTGTCAGCTAAAGCATGTTTTTACTGGAACCAGCCTTCCACCGGCCTGGGGATTTCATTTCTTCCCCGGTGGGGTGCGGGGTGACTCATGCACGGTGCCAGGCCCCCTGCCGAGTGCTTCACGTATGGCTCTGTGGTCTTCAGCTCAGCCGGGCAGAGCTGGCATTGCTCTTCCTGCTTTGCAGATGAGGATCCGAGGCCCAGAGAGGCTGGTTGGCTTGCCCAAAGCCACACAGCTAGGAGTGGTAGCGTGAGGATTTGAACTCTGGTCTCTTGGGCTGCAAAGCAAATGCCCTCTGAACTGCACGCTGGGGAGGCCCTTCCAGGTCCTAAAACCTGACAGCCCAAAGAGCTCTGTGGGGGCTGCGGGAGGGTGTCAGCTTTGTGTTCCTCTGCACTATCGCTCCCCTAGTTAACCCTCCAGTGACCCCCCACTCAGAATGTGATCTCAGCTCCCCACCCCTGGCTGACGAGGCTCTGCGAGGTGCAGCCCAGGCGCCCGCTGCACTGCATCCCTCCCCTCTCGCCCGCCCGGCTCCTGACTTACTGGCCTCCATGCCAGCTACCCACACACAGCTAGCTCATGTTGCAGGCCCGTGCGCTGTTGACTGGCTTTTTCCTGCCATTCCTGTTTCCGATTAAATGTCATGTCTTCAGAGGGGCCTCCCCAACGTTCGGCCGCCCCTCCTCCCCCGCCCCTCCTCCCTTCCCACGTCCCTGGTGCACAGCACTGCCCCGCTGACCCTTTCCTGGAGCGCCGCTCTCTGTCTCCCCCATGGCTGTGTCGCTTTGGCTGTGGCTGTGGGACGCGTGCCAGTGCAGGGGCTGGTGGCGGGAGAAGCTGAGCTAGGGGGAATTGAGGCCCGCCCTTCAGTCCCCTGCCCCTGGCAGGACATGTGTGTCCCTTTGCTGAGGGCTGACAGGCGGAGCTGGGGAGGCTGTGGCATAGGACCACTGGGCTGTGGGGGCGTCCCTGGAGTCTTAGTCTCTGGAACCTTCAGGGGCTGAGCAGCTGCCCGGGGGATGTGAAGACGGGGCATCGAAGAGGACTTTCCCTCCCGTATTAGCAGCCTCCCCCCTACCCACCCAGGAGGATGCCCAGCCTTGGCTTGTGCGCCTCTCCGGCGATGGGGTGCTCGCCGCCTCCAGGGAGAGCACAGGACCCCATGCAGCCCCTGGTGCTCCCCCTGCCAACAGACCCATCATAAGCCACGGGGTCTCCCTGGGACCTTGGTGGTGACACGGCCCCCCTCCCCCTTGCCTCCCTCTCAGTTTAAGTGCTGTGGCGGGGAAGACTACCGGGATTGGAGCAAAAACCAGTACCACGACTGCAACGCCCCCGGACCCCTGGCCTGCGGGGTGCCTTACACCTGCTGCGTCAGAAACACGGTACCCACTGCTCCTGGGGCCTCCCTGGCTGGCCAGGCGCCTCTCATCTTTCAGGAAGGGGGGGCGGGCAGGAGGTGGTGGGCGTTGCCCGGCTTCCTGAGTCTCCAGGGCCATCTGGGGGGCCATCTGGGGGTGGGGGCTGGAAGGCCGGTCTTGAAGAGTAGCGATCGTTAGCAGCTAGCGAGCACCCCCACGTGCAGGCCTGTTCTAGGCTCTCTGGTTGTGGTATTCAGCCCTTTCCACAGCCCTGTGGGGCAGGTCCTGTTATTCTACCCACTGTACAGATGAAGAAGTTGAGGCACCAAAACATCAGGTGCCTGCCTTGCCCAGGGATGGCCTGAAATACAGGCAGCATGTGGGAGCTGTGCTCTGGACTTCTCCCCAGCCCAGGCGAGGCGCCCAGAGGGTTCCTGGTGGGGGACCGGGGGCTCCCCAGGGTGGCCAGCTGCACAGCCTTAGCTGCAGGGCGCCTTTGGAAGGGGTCCGGTGGTGTAAATGCCAGCCGCTGCCTCTCCCTAGCAGGATCTTGTCAACTCTGTCACCTCCATGACCACGGGGGAGGCTGTCCTGTGTAGTCACCACTTCTAAATGAAGGGATTCTTCAATCCTGTGTTTGACTAATGTGCCCCCACACTGCCTGGTTTCTGGATTGGAACGAGGTGGAGAGCTTTGCAATTACTCATGCCCTAAAGAGTCATGGAAAATTTCTTTTCGAACATCTCTACCATTCTGTGCCCACTGCTGGGTTCTGTAATCCAGGCAGCTGCCGGTGGGGGTGGGGGCCTCACCCTCGAGTCAGGGAGCCAGGGCCGAGCGCCTCAGCCCTAAAAAAGCCTGGACCAGGAGGGAAAGTTTGTTTGGAAATTTTAGCTGCCATTTTAGGGTAGCCTTCTGGGAAGGGGGAGCGCTGGAGGAGAGCCCAGCCTTTTCAGAGAAGCCTGTGGGGGGGAGGGGGTGATCCTGAACTTTGTCATGTAGGGCGGTGGCAACTGAATGTCCTAGCCAAGCCATGGAACCTACGTGTGCTCATTCACTCAGCATATATTTGTGGAGGACCTGCTATGTGCCAGATGTGATTCTAGGTCCTGGGGGTACAGACACACGGAGAACTCTGCCTCCACAGCACTGACGTTCTAGACACACAAAATAAGTGCCAGATCATACCCTTGAAGGTGTTAAATGCTAAAGAGGAAAATAAAGCAGGGGGTTTGGAGGATTGCAATTTTAGATACTGAGAAGCTAGTTCTCAGTGAAACCCTGAAGGAAGTGAAGGGGTAAGCTGTGCATATCTGGAGGATGAGCATTCCTGGCAGAAAAGAGCACATGCAAAGGCCCTGGGGTGGGAATTGGCCTGGTGTGTTTGAGAAACAGCATAGAAACCAGTGTGGCTGGAACAGAGTAAGTGTGGGGGAGAATAGTAACAGGTTAAGTTGGGGAGGTCATGGGTGCCCTAAAGACCATGGTCAGGACTTTAGTTTTCCCTGGAGTGACAAGGAGCCAGATGGAGGGCTTTAGCAGCTAAGTGGCAGATCTGACTTAGGCTTTACTGGGATCACGCTGACTGCTGGGGGGCAGAGGTGGACATGGTGAGTCTGGTTAGGCGCTAGTGCAGCTGTCCGTGTGTCACAGGACAGACTGTCCGGGAAGCAGGCTCTGAGGTGCTGGTTAGCAAGCAGCTCTGCAGGATGAGCCGGGAAGCTGAGTGTCCTGGAGAGCCGGTGTTTAGTTCCAGTCCGAGTCCTGCAGCCTGTGAAGCAGGAGCACTGGCCATGTCATTCCTGTCCGAAGGCTGGAGGCTTGAGAGTGGGGAAGAGCCAATGTCTCAGTTCAGGTCTGCAGTTCGTCAGGCAGGAGGAATTCTCTGTCACTTGGGGGCAGGACAGCCTTTTTGTTCTATTCATGCCTTCAACTGATTGGGCGAGACCCACCCACACCAGGGAGAGCAATCTGCCTTACTCCATCTACTGATTTAAATGTCAATATCATTGAAAAGCACCCTCAGAGAAACACCCAGAATAATGTTTGACTAAATATCTGGGCACCCCACCCCAGGCCCGGTCCAGTTGACACATAAAATTAACAACATGTGACGATCATCACAAGGGCTGACAGCAAGGCCCCAGCCGATGGTGCTCCCAGTGTCTCCGGGGTTCTGGCAAGCTCTTCAGAGTCACCACGCCAGGTGGGAGAAGACAGAGGCTTAGAGTCAGGAGATGGCAGCGGAGGCTGTAAGTCTTGGTCAGCCTCCGGCTTTGTTTTACATGTAAGCCAACACGATTTGCTGACACGTCACATATGGGAGGTTGGGGAAAGGGAGAAACCAAGGAGGACTCCTGGCTTTCGGCTTGAGCCACAAGAAAGAAGGGGCTGCCATTGGCTGAGAGGGGAGGACAGAGGTGAGGCAGGTTTGGGGGACTAGGGGTTCGGTGTGGACAGGTGGAGCTGGGGAGCTGGGTGACATTCCAGCAGGCTGTCAAAGAGGCAGCTGGATATCGGGGCCTGGAGTGTGGGGAGACGCCCAGGCCGGGCACATCAATACGGACCCTGCAGGGAAGTGCAGTGTAAAGCCTGCATCTGGATGGGAACAGTGCGGTAGGGAGGTGACACTCACCCGGCGGGGTTATCTCTGGTCCGGTATCACAGAACCACTGGTGGGCTCATGATTTTCTACTCTAGATAGGAAAGAGGGTGTTTCCTTCCTTCCTCCAATCCACGTGTGTGCATCTGTGTACGAATCTGTTTATTTTACCCTATTCCATTTAGCCACAGATCTGAATGGACACGCAGTAAATACATAGGAGAAAAAACTAAAATGAAAAATCATTGGAAACCAGAACCTTATGTGTGGTGGTTTAGAGCTCCCTGGTGGCCAGAGGAAAAGGGGAGACATGGTGTGGTACAATGTTACTGTTCAACGGAGGAAAGCAAACCAGGGCTTCTGGGAAAGTCGCTTTGCCCCTAGCTCTCAGCATTAAAAGAAATGTCTTCTATACCAGGCTTCCTACAGAAGATTGGAAACAGCAGGAAGCACTCGGGTAAAATTCAGTTATGCTGAGTGACGTCCTGGAGGCCTGGGTTGGCATAGAGGGCAGTTTGCGTTAAATGGCCTTGGACCAGTTTGCCTGCTGAGCGCTTGTGCCCATTTGTTATAGATGTCCATCGTCTTATTTTTGGCTACCCTTTGGGGCCCGTCCCTCAAGGGCTCTCTCCCTCTGCCCCCTGGCCTCAGACCCCACATACCCCAGCTCATCAGCCGTGCGCCAGATAGGAAGCACATGTGAAGAACCCCTCTGAACTTTGCTGAGTTCATTTTCCGGCTGCTCAGTGCCCCTCCTGACCTCCTGTCTGTGGCCCCGTGTCAGACGGAAGAGGCCCCCATGCCCTGGTCTGGGGGGCCGCGAACCCTCAGCAGAGGCGCTGGAGAATACTGGTTCTGTGCTCAAACCTAGGCAGGCTTTACCTTTGAAAAGAGCCATTGAGATGTCTCTCAATCCCCCCCTTGGAGGGGGCTCTCCTGGCAGAGGAGGGGAGAGTAGAGGAGGGGTTGGGCTATGGGTGCAAAGGAGGCCTCAGCCAGGTGCATGTCTGCTCCCTGAGGGCAGGGGCGATGCGTCCGGGGCTGGAAGCACAGTGAAAGTGGTTATTCTTGACACCTTCATACACTGTGTAGACGACCTATTTATTATGTCCACGGTGGGTCTCCCTTGCTAGAATATAAGTTCCATGAAGGTAAGGACTTCCCTTTGTTCTTCTACATCCCCAATGCCTAGAACAGGGATTGCTACATCATAGGTGCTCAATCAACGTTTGTTCAGTGAATGAATGAACAAGAGAGCCGCTTTCTACCATTTTCTACCATTCCCATCATTCTGTCATGCACCTGCTCTCCAGGCCTGATCCTCTCCATGGGGGTCATGTTCACCACCTACAGGAGCCACAAACGCTGACCTATGTTAAGTGGATGCTGGCCAGTTTGGGGTCAGAGGGCGCCTGGGGTACAGTCTACACTGAGGGAGGTTATTTGGCCCACAAACCAAGTCCTGACATCTGAGATGAGGCCTGTGTTCCAACATGCTCTTTTGGAAGGGGAGTTGACAGCCTTCCTTGCCTTCCACAAGCTGGGATCATGCCCAAAGTCACTCCAGCCAGCGTCCCTTAGTTCCTCCATGTGCCCGGCCCTGAGATAAGCTGTTGACGGGTATAGCTCCCTTTATGGTCAAAACAGCCCCATGAGGTGGGTTTACTGATCACCATCGCTTTTTGGGAGATACCAAGGAACCTCATTCATTCATTCATTCATTCATTCATTGAATAAATACTGATTGAGTGCCTCCACATACCGTCCCTTCACAGCACATCTAAGATTGGCCTCAGGGCGTGTCAGTAGCAGAGCAAGGCCCGGACCAGGCACCATGATGCCAGAGGCTGCCCGGGCCCTCCTGCCCTCCCAACTCGCTGCTGGCCCCTGCAGCGCCGGAGCCCAAGGAAGCTCTCAGCTGGTGTGGCGGGGCGGGACCGGGGCGTCTCGCTCTCTGTCATTTCGTAGAACGAGAAGGATGCGGCACAGGACATAGACGGTGCAGGGAAGTGGCCCCTGCCAGTCCTCTGCCCTAGGCCTGCTGGGAGGGGATTAGAGTGGGTCCAGGGCCGACCCCAGCTCTCCCTGCCCTGAGGTTGATCAGCAGCTGGGAGTCCCTGAGAGCAACTCTCTCCCTGGGAAAGCGGCGCCTCGACGGGTGGGGTGGCTGTCTGCAGGGGTGGGGCGGTGTGGTCAGTGGCCTCAGCCTCATCCTCAGGTAAAGCACAGCTGGCTGGGGTCCTGGCTACTGGCCGAGGTTTTGCTTCATAAGAGTCAGCTGGAGCAAGAACAGCCCAGCCCTGAGCTCTGAGACCTGCACAGCCGTGTCATCAAAGCCATGGCCCTGGGGCAGCTCGCTCTTCTCTGGGTTCCTGGGCTGCTGCAGGTGGAGGAGACGCCCTCTTCCCCAAATGCCCCGGACCTAGCCTTCCCGTCTTTCCTCCTGGGCACTTCTTGAGGGGAGGGGAGGTTAAGATGCAGACTCTAGCCAGACTGCCTGGGTGGGAATCTCAGCTCCATTCATACCTGACTGTGCCTCAGTTCTTTCATCAGTAAAAGGGGAGAATAATAGTGTTTTATTAAAAAAATGTTTTAATGTTTCTTTATTTTTGGGAGACAGAGAGACAGAGTGTGAGCAGGGGAGGGGCAGAGAGAGAGGGAGACATGGAATCTGAAGCAGGCTGCAAGCTCTGAGCTGTCAGCACAGAGCCGGACGCGGGGCTCGAACCCACAAAGCATGGGATCATGACCTGGGCCAAAGTCGTACACTTAACCAACTGAGCCCCCCAGGCGCCCCAATAATAGTGTCTTTTACAGCAAGCATTATGGAAGTGTTGGCTAACACTCATTTCTGTTTCAGACAGAAGTTGTCAACACCATGTGCGGCTACAGAACTATTGACAAGGAGGTAATGTCTTTGCAATCTCTTTCCTTGAGAAAGGTTGCTCTTCCTGTCCCCTCCCCTGGGGGACTGGAGGGGCTCTGGGGGTGGGGCTCCTGGCTGTGAATAGGAGTCAGGGGCTGCCAAGGTTTCCCACCTGTGCCCAGATACAGAAGGACCCTCCCCCAGGCTGGGAGAGGCTCCCTGCCTGTGTTGACTGAGCACCTACTGTGGGCTTGTCTGTGTGAGGCCAGCGTGCCCTTGCCAGTGCCCCCAGCATGCCTGTGTGCCCAGCCGTGCTCAGGACCTGCCTGTCTTGCAACTCCCTGGGCTAAGAGCGACGCTGGGGTGGTGCTGAGAGGGAGCTAAACATCATGATGACTTGAGGTGCCTGTGAGGAGTGAGGTCCCTGGATCAGCAGTGACAGCAGCCTGGGGAACTTGCTAGAAACACGCATTCTTGGGGCAGAGCCTGGCAGGTGCACCTGACGCCCATTTCAGCTGGAGAGCCGTAGACCAGCAGAGGTTCTCAAGCCATCAGACCCGGTGCCCGGGTACTACAGTAATCAGTCACCCTTGTCATTATCTGGGAATGAACTTCACAGATAGTATAATCTACCTCACACCCAGTGTCAGAACAAGTGATGGATCTGAGGTAAAAGGAGAGCTAAAACAACTTGCAATCCTATAGCACACCTCACACGGAAACGCTCAGGCATCAGATACGACAGAGGACACAAAAAAAGCAGTCCTGTGTTTGTACCACAGGGGCAGCCGACACCCGGGGTGGGGGGTGGATTGGTAACATGCTAACCACAGGCATCATGTTTCCCGTGGACATGGTCTTCAAATATGGTGAACGATGCTTGATAAAATCCCAGACGAAATACAGTATGATCATTCTTTAATTTACTTTGTAGTATTTCTGCAAAATTATATATAGTGCACGCGCGTGTGTGTGTACTATGTATTTGTGCACAGTAAAACCACGCAGAAAACACTGTGGTTCTTCTAAGTCCCTGAAGTTGGGCTTTTGGCTCAAATAATTACGATGGATTTCCAGCCATCTAGATGCCCCCCGGGGGGAGGGACTTCAGAGAGGCAGGAAGGCAGGGCCGTTGTTTGTGGGGTAGAATTGTCCTCGCTCCACAGTCCCTCGGCCCCCAAACCCAACTGCTGTGACACCCAGAAGTGCCACCATGATGTCCTCAGTGCTCTCTAAGGAACACTACTGCCCACTGAGACCCACTGGTTAGAGCCACCTGCTCGTAGTGCATGTGAGAAACTGAGGCTCAGAGAGGGGGAGGGACTTGCCTGGCCGTCGGGTGAGCCGCAGAGCGGGGGCCGGGGCCCTGCCGGGTGAGGTGTCAGCCAGGCTCCTCCCCGGGCAGCGCCTCAGCGTGCAAGATGTCATCTACGTGCGAGGCTGCACCAACGCCGTGCTCATCTGGTTCATGGACAACTACACCATCATGGCGGGCCTCCTGCTGGGCATCCTGCTCCCCCAGGTGGGCTGGTCCCCCTCCACCCAGGGGCGTGGTGGGCAAGGGGCGCTTCAGAGAAAGTGTGGCTTGGTGGTCACAGACAGCAGAAAGGGTACGACGGGGTGGGGTGAAGAAGGCTCTTGTATCATCCGTCTGGGCTCACTTTGGAGGGCCGGAGGGCTGGAAGGAGAGGGCGAATGGCAATAGCCTTGCTTAGAAAGCTCTTCCAAGGGCTTCACCGGCACTGCCTTCTTCAATTCTGTGAGGTAGATGCTGTTATCGTGCCCAGTTAACAGAGGAGGCAACTGAGGCTTGGCAAGGTTAAGTGACTTGCCCAAGGTCCCCTAGATAGTGAGTTGGCATAGCTGGGGTGCAGACAGGGGTCCCAGAGCAGAGGCACCTCTGCTGATGGGGCACACAGAGGGTGTCTGGGATTTCCTGGGATGGGGAGAGGAGGGCCTGGGCTGGGGGCCGCCAAAGAGGGCCACCCAGCCCCCAGCACACGCTCACCCACCCTGCCCTTTCTCTTCAGTTCCTGGGGGTGCTGCTGACAGTCCTGTACATCACCCGGGTAGAGGACATCATCATGGAGCACTCTGTCACCGACGGGCTCTTGGGGCCTGGTGCGAAGGCCAGCGTGGAGGCGGCAGGCACAGGCTGCTGCATGTGCTACCCCAGTTAGCGCCCCGGTCTGGGGCAGCGGCTCTACGCATCATCGTGGCCCGGCGGGACTGTGGGTCCTCTCCGCAGACTTGGCACTGACCAAAGCCCTGGCTGTGCCTGCTCGGACCTCCCACGGCCACCGCCTCCCTGGGGAGCAAAGCCCCCTCCCGGGGTCCCGTGTCTGCCCGCACTCCTAGGCGTGGAGAACAAGAGTGTCCCTTCTCCAGGAGTGGCCACGGGGGAAAGGGGGTGCTCAGCGCTCCGCTCAGGGCCCATTGCGTTTCTGGCAGTGCCTTGGCCTGCGGTGTTTATGCCCATTTGAGGGCAATTTTGTAGTAATTTGTGAGCGAGGAGGAAGGAGAGCACGTGTGCCTGGAGGTGGAGGGGGGTGTGGCCCCCAGGCCCCGCCCCCAGCCCCACGGCCACACCCCCAAGGCCCGGTTGGGCCCATTTAGCAGCCTCCCAGGAACCTTGAACCTGCCTAAGGCTGCTGCTTTGCTGACCCCGTTTTTTACGTGATTTTTGTAACATTCATTTTGTACACAGTTAACAGGAGTTCCTGACTAATCGAAGCTGGGTGGGTCCCCACACACCCCACTTTTCCCCCTCCAACCTAGTTTATTAATCAAACAATAAAAATGTGATTTTTTTTTTTTTTTGGTGTTTCATTTGTGCTGTTTGGGTCGGGAGGGGTGGGGAAGTCCTCAACTTGGGCTTAGAAGCCCCTCATTGGTGCAAGGATTGATGGGGGGGTGGGGGACGGGGAGGTCACTCTGGGGCCAAGATCCGGGACATTTGGGGACACTGCAGAAATGGCTTTTCCCAGCCGTGTTTGGGGGCCTGCCCTTCCTGTTAAGGATTCATTCGCCTGTGGGAAACCTCGGAGGAGGCAGAGATGGGCGGATGGGACCTAGGAGAGTCGAGGGTCTGTCTGGGGAAGTGCTGTGCCCACAAACCCACCCGCAGCTTTTGAACCTGATCCGCTCTCCCTACAACAGTAAGCAGCGAGCTGTTCCGGCGCCAGGGTCCAGAAAGAACAACGCTCAATGCCCAGCAAAGCTTGGTGCCGATCGCCCCCTGCTGGAGGTGGCAGGCCCTGCACGGATCAGCCCAGCCAAGCCTTCCTGCCCCAAGACTTGGGTTCCAGATTTCCTGTGCGTTCTCAGTAGTTAGGGCAATAGCAATAAGCAGCAAGGGCCCCAAACCTGAAGAACTCAGGCTAAGTGTGTTAGGGAACTGCCCGCCACGTCCAGAAATGAAGTGGTCGGCTGCTTGGTCGGCCTGAGTTCTGATGGGTGTAGAAAAGGGTGGGAGAGGGGTTTGTGAAAGGATAGAATAAGTAACGAGAGCAAGCACGTCAGCAAGCATGGTCTGTCAGGAGCTTGTCCAAACATCTGACAGCTCTTTTAAGTCTTGCAACTGTGTGTGGTAACTCGTGTTACGTCCATTTTATTGCTGGAGAGACTGGGGTATTTCAAGTAACTTGTCCAAAGCACAGGGCTGGTAAGGGACAGAGCCACAATGTGAAGCCAGGTACAATCTCCCCGGTGGTGTGGACACATGCATAGCACTGGGCGTGCAGAGCATGGATGGCCGCTCCTGCAGCGGTCCCCAAGGGGTGGTCACAGCAGCTGTCGCTGGAACCTCTGTCTGGTCCCCATAGCCACCTACACATGCAAGGCCAGGTCACCCCTGCATCCGGCTGGTGGCCCCCTGGCTCTCCAGTTCTGGCTATTCTCTGAGGACTCTCTCTGTGCTGAGGAGGAGGAGGCTGTCTTTGGGGCAGCAAGATGGTGGAGGCGCTGAGCGAGCTTGGAACTCCACTGAGTGTGTCTGTCCAAAGTCTTAGTACCCTGTAACCTGAAAACCTCTGGTCACCTTGTCCTCCCTCCTTCTGCCACCACACACAGATGCGCAGACACCCCTCTACCTGACACTGCTGCTTACGGGGACCAGGGGACAGGGTAGGTGGCCACAGACGGCTGAGCCCCAGCTGATATTTTACTTTTCTTTTTCTTCCAAACTGCAGCCACTCACCTCTCTAGAAAGCAAAATGGGACACAAGGAAGGGACGTTTTCAGTCCTGAGGTTAGGATGCTTCTGCTCTTGGACTCTTTTGGTGCCCAAGGCGACAACATCCTCTCAACCCTTCATCTCACAAGGATGGAAGCATGACCGTCAAGACTAATCCTGTTCCCTCACCGCGGCACATACCGAAACAGACCATGTTATTGCAGCCCACCGTAGTTGTGGAACTGGGAGAGATGTGTAGGCTTTAATGTTGGACTTTTCTTTATTGTTGTTGTTCCATAATTCTGAGAAAAACAAAGCAATAAAATGTATCCAGGAAGACTGGCTTTGAATAAAAATTCCAAGTACGGTATTCCCCAAACTTACTTTTTAACGGTTTATTGAGGTGTACTCGAGCTAAAATAAACTACACAATTTTTTTTAAGTTTATTTATTTATTTTGAGAGGGAGAGGAAGAGGCAGAGAGAGAGGGAGAGAGAGAATGCCAAGCAGGCTCCGTGCTGTCAGGGCAGAGCCCAGCATGGGGCTCAGTTTCATGAACTGTGAGATCAGGACCTGGGCGGAAATCGAGAGTCAGATGCTTAACAGACTGAGCCACCGGGCTCCCCTCGCACATATTTAAAGTGACAGCCATCACTGAGGAAACCGTCACCACAATCAAGAGAATGAACATTTCCATAATGCTAAAAAAATTTTTCCTCTTGCCCCTTGGGAATCCCTTCCTAAGTTTTTTTTTTTTTAATTTATTTTTGAGAGAGAGTGAGAGAGAGAATGAAGAGAAACAGAGTGTGAGCAGAGGAGGGGCAGAGAGAGATGGAGACACAGAATCTGAAGCAGGATCCAGGCTCTGAGCTGTCAGCACAGAGCCTGACGCAGGACTTGAACTCATGAACCATGAGATCATTACCTGAGCCGAAGTTGGCTGCTTACCCAACTGAGCCACCCAGATGCCCTGCCTTGGGAATCCCTTTTTACCCACCTCTCCATCACACCCCTGCTCCATCTCCAGGCAATCATGGATCTGCTGTCCATTTCTGTACATTACTTTGTATTTTCTAACATTTTATATCCATGGATTTATACAGTAAGTATTCTTTTTGTTGGGCTTCTTTCATTCAACATGATTATTTGGAGGTTTGCTCATTTTGTAGCATGTGTCAGTAGCACATTCCTTTTTACTGCTCAGCAATAGTCCATTGAATGGATGCGCCATGGCTTATTTATCCATTTTCCTACTGATGGCTGTTTGTGTTGCTTCCAGGTTTTCGGTGTTGTTATTACAAATAGAGTTACTGTGAACATTCACGTACATGTCTTCGTACAGACATACACTTTCATTTCTCCTGGGTAGATATCTAGAAAGCTGGGTCATACAGTAAGTGCGTGTTCAGCTTTAAAAGAAGCTTCCAGAGTATTTTCCAAAATGGATGCGTGATTCTACACCTCCACCAGCCATGTAGATGCCCTTCACGATCCTCCGTGTCCTTGCCAGTATTTGGTGTGCGTGTGTGGTGATGCCTCATTGTGGTTTTACTTTCCATTTCCTCAACAATTAACCATGTTGAATACCGTTTCATGGATGTATTCACCACACACTAATTTCTCTGAAGTATCTGTTCAAATCTTTCTCAAAAAGTTGTCTTGTTTGTTTTCTTATTGAGGCTTAAGAATGCTTTCTATAGTCTAGATATAAGTCCTTTATCAGATACAGGATTTCCAAGTCTTTTTGCCCCATCTACAGCTTGGCTTTCCATTCTCTTACCAGTGTTTTTTCACAAAGCAGAAGATTTTAACTCAATGGAATCCAATTTATCACTATTTTTCTTTTGTACATTGTGCTTTTGGTATCGCATTTAAGAAATCCTTGCCACACCCGGGGTCACAAAGTTTTTCTCTCATATTTTCTTTTGGAAGCTTTGTAATTATGTAAAACTATTCCATTTAGGGCAATGGCCCATGTTGAGTTAATTTTTTTTTTATATGGTATGAGGTATGGATCGAAATTTGGTTACTTTGTAAATGAATATCCATTTGCTCCTGCACAACTTGTTGAGAGATGGTTCTTTCTCCACCAACTTGCCTGGGTGCCTTTGCTGAAAATCAGTTGTCCACATATGTGTGAGTTTATTCTGGATTTTCTGTTCTGTTTCATCCAATGTTGACCAGAACGTTTGAGAATACATGTCCTTGGCTTACTTCTAATCTCATATGGAAAGTATTCAGTCTTTCATCATTAAATATAACATTAGATGTGGGTTTTTCATTGATGTCCTTTATCAGTTTGAGGAAATTCTGTTGTGTTTCTACTTTACGGAGAATTTTTTTTTTTTTATCAAGAATGGATGTTGGGTTTTGTTAAGTGCTTTTTATGCATCTTTTAAAATTTCTTAACATGGTGAGTTACATTGATTGATTTTCAAGTGTTAAGTCAACCTCACGTACCTCAAATAAACTCCACTCACTTTATTTTTATTTTTGAGAGAGAGGGAGTGAGCACACGTTTAGCAGGGAAGAGGGGTAGAGGGAGAGAGAGGGAGGGAGAATCTCAAGCAGGTGGAGCCTGACATGGGGCTCCATCCCACAATCCTGGGACCATGGCCTGAGCCGAAATCAAAAGTCAGATACTCAACTGATAGAGCCACCAAGTGCTCCTCACTTTTTTTTTTTTTTTTAAATAATTGTTGGGTTTTATTTACTAGAATTTTGCTTAGAATTTTTGCACCAATGTGCAGAAGGGATTTGGGGCTGTAGTTTTCTTGTAATGTCTTTGGTTTTGGTACCAAAGTAAAGCTGGCTTCATAGAATTTGTTGGGAAATATTCCTTCCTTTTCAATTTTCTGGGAGAGTTTGTGTGGAGTTGGTGTTATTTCTTCCCTAAAAGTTTGATCGGATTCACCAGTGAGGCTACTTGGACTTGGAGTTTCTTTGTAGGAAGATTTTACACAATAATTCCAATTTCTTTACAATATCAGGCTACTTAGGTTCTTTCTTCTTGAGAGCTTGGCATTTTAGACCTTCAAGGCATTTTTCCGTTTCATCTAAGATGTCAAATTTATGGGCATAAACTTGCTCAGAACTTTATTATCCCTTTAACATCTGCAGAATGTGTACTAATCACATTTTTCTTATTCCTGATATTGGTAACTTGACTTTTCTCTATTTTTGCTAGTGAGTCTGTCCAGGGGGTTAGCAATTTTATTGATCTCCTCAAAGAACCAGCTGGATCATTCTCATGAGTATATGAACAAGCTTTGCTATTCCTATCTGGAAACAAACAGGCACCCCTATCTTGATCTTACTTCCTCCAAAGCCCCCCACCCGATTTCTTGCCTTCCTTCTGCTGAAGCCACTTTGGAAGAGTGTCTGTACTCTGTCTCTGATTCTTCTCCTCTCATTTACTCTTTCTTTTCAGATTCACTTCACTAATGTATTTTTTCATTCTATTAATAACTTTACTTTCGAACTTGATTGAAGTATAATTGACAAAATTATAATGTGTTTAAAGCGTACAATGTAATGATTTGATATACACTGTGAAAGGATCCCCACCATTGAGTTCATTAACACGTCCATCACCTCACTTATTTATCTTTTAAAAAATGACGTATAATTGACATATAACATT